TATATCTATCAAGATTATTATAACAGTACAACTTTTTAATCAGCTTTAAATTTTATTACTAGATAAGCTAGTTAATCTGCATTAGTCTAAATGATTTCTGTTGAAATTATGCGATAGTACGCACATCGTAGATAACAATGAAATTAATAAGTATTTTTCTTGTTAAAATACTTCTCCTCCGTACGTTTTGTAATTGTACGTATATAGTTTCACGAAGGGACAGCAGAGATTCGTTAAAAAGAAACACGTTTCGACGACATAAGTACGAATAAGACAACGTTAGAGTCCAAGACACGTTTTGTAATTTTTTTATGTACTACTACGTATGTGTTTAATACGCATACGAAGAGAGAAACCAATAGGACGTTGAAAGAGCTTCATGTATTGAACTCCTGAAAATTGTCTGAAGTACAACTGCAGTAAAATGCTGAAAATATTTCATCGAAATCATTTACACCTTTCTTCTCCGACGTTGAAAACAGATTAAAAAAACTGACGGAATGATGTAATTTGTAATTATCGTCGACGCGGTAGTTAAAGCGACACGCGTAATTTGAATATCGTGATAGGATATAATACCAATCGGTGAGCTCGCTTCTGTTGTATGCGTAATTAAAAATGGAATCGTTGAGTACTAAGTTTTCACGAGGATTATAGAAACCTTAAAACAGGTTCGCGATTACAACGTGGCGTTAATCGTGCGAAAAATTAACGAGAAACGTAATATACATATGTACATTGAACGAGTGCTGATAGCTAGAACGGATATACAGAAGCTCTACTCTAATTCTCTGAGCAACTTTCAACAGATCCGATAACGCCTCCTTTAATATCTCTCACGACTAATTACATGTTAGATTGAAGTTTACGTAGCACATAACAACGTAAACAGTCGCGCTGTGCTATGAATCGTAATTTTCCGTACAAATTGGAAATTGGTAAAAGAAATTAGAAAGCCTTTTGTAAATGCAGTGGTCCGCGAGAGTACTCGGACACCTTTTAGAATAGAATCATTTTTTTAACATTGAACCGGACAGCACGACTTCCTTCGGGATTCCGACTAATTAAAACTTATAGGATCCCAGAGAAAATTATGCTCACTTTCTTTTAAAAGGTGTTCGAATAATCTCGTGAGCCGCTGTATATAGACGACTGATGATCGTCTTATTAAATCGCACGTTTTATACTAGGAACTGTTTGCCGGCGAGCACATACGGTCATATGTATTAGCTATTTAAAACGTCCATTCTCTCATTCGTTCGTCCACCCAGCACAACAATGAAGATGCGTACTAAGAATCTGTCTCGATAGATTTTTCGCAACAATTGATTAGGAAATATTTTTGGTTTACTCGTATCTCAATTTGATTTTGTACTCTTCACTCTTTTTCCCATTTAAAAGTTATGTGTCTGTAGGCCTCGGAGCCGACGCTCTTATATCAAGTAAAAAAATACAGTAAACATTTCGTTAAGAATAAATATGTTTTAATGAGCGATCGAAGCGAACGAGCGATCGAAGAGTAAGGTACGATTTGAATGTTGCAGATCCATTGTACAATTCTTAACGAGATATTATTAGAAACCAGATCCAGCGGGAATCACGCGCTTGTAAGTGATCCAATTTTATTGGGACACTCGATTCTAGATAGTGTTTAAGCGTTCGTCGTTTTATCAGCGCCGTTCTTTTTACCGATTAGTAAAAACACGTCCATGTTATCCTTTCCCTTAACGTAAACTTGGCCACGCGGTTCGAACTCGTATCTTTCGGACAGTACGTCCAACGAGTTCTTGGCCACTTGTATTCTATCAGCGACTCCGGTCGAATCCATTCTAGATGCTATATTTACAGCGTCGCCCCAAATATCGTAATATAACTTCGTTGCACCGATTACGCCGGCGGTCACGTCGCCGTAATTAAATCCGATCCGTAGGATCAATTTGAAGCCGAGCAGGTCTCGGTTAAAATTATTTATCACCTTTTGCATCGCCATGGCAAAGTCCATCAATTGAAACAGATGCGTGTACTCGTGTTCGCTCTGTTGCCTGACTTGCGGATTCAGCCCGCTCGCTGCCATGAACGTGCTACCGATGGTCTTTATCTTCTCCACGTTGGCGAACTCCGGTTTCTCCAGCAGCTCGTCAAAATCGCCGATTAGTTCATTGAGAACGCGCAGATATTCTCTTCCTCGCAGATAAGATTCGTCGTACAGCTCGTTGAAGTTCACTATACTCGCAAAGATGATACCCACGGCTTTGTGATTCTGCGAATACTTAGCAGTGGTCTTTAACTGATCAGCCACGTATTTCGGTATAATGTTGTGAAGTAGCCAGTCGGCCTGATTCTTCATAGACTGCACGCGGGTCTTGTCTCGAGCCGCCACTGCGTTACCGTGAAAGCTTAACCGATAGCTGATCTCGAACTCACGGTTTAAAAACCAGACCAGCAGAAGTAAAAGTATCATGTCTAAAAAAATCTCGGAATTGTATAATCGTTCCCGGTATCTCGTCTCAACTTCCCGTTGCCTCATCGTTACGAAGCTCGACGAGGGAACAGGCGTAGATCCCAATACCTTCTTTATGCTACCGTCGTTCAACGTTGAATTAATTATCGAATCGTTAACGAGCCGATCACGTAGGTGCTCTTGATCGTACGACAAGTGATGTATCACGAGGCAAAGGAATAATACCCCCATGAACGTTACCAACGAGTTCTTCATCCAACAATTGAGTTGCGTGAAATTACAAAAATGTACTAAGCCGACGAAGATCAAGTACCCGTAATAATACTCGAAATTGTTCAAATTATGGAAATTGGTGCAGGTATAATTGAGGAGGATCGAGGTGATCGGCAACCCGACGAGAATCGCGCCGCATACGTGCCAGGGATACCATCGAGAGAAGAATTTGAATATCTGTTGCATCCACGTCGCGTGAACCAAATCCGGATACAATAGTTGGCGAACGCAGAGCGACACGGCTATGATCTGAATTGCAGTGGCGCAGACAAAAAATATCATGTAGTACAACGTCGACTCGCAGATTAAAAAAAGCGAGACCGTGACGGCAGTGTAAACCAACGCCGATATCAGAATATCGAAGTACGTATTGAATCTCGAGGTAGCAAGAGTAGGTGGATTACCACTGATACATTCGCTGACCTTGTGAGCGTTCTCCCTGTACTCCTTCTCCATCTCTTTGTTCTTGAAAAAGAGGGTCAAACTCGAGAGCGGTGGTTTCACGAAGTACGATCGTTGAGAACTTACGTTGTCTTGGACGCATCTTTGAAACGAGAAACAGAACGAATAAGAACATGCTTTTACACGAACATCGGAGTTCAATTCAATTACCTGATCAATTGCAAATCGGATTGTTTTCTCAATTTGTGAAAACACGCACCGAAGGTGTCCGTAACTGCCGGGGGAAACGGATAAGGCGGCACCGAAGACGACTGCTCGTGAGCAGAGTTCAACGTCGAACTAGAAGTATAATAGCCGCTCACTCTGTGCGCCAGTAAATCTCCCTGAGCCATGCCGTTCATCAAGAATAACTGAATTACAAGAAAATTAGGTAGCTGTACAAACGGTCGTGTATCTTCGATAGAAGTTTCTGTCACCTGTTGCTGTATACTGCTACGCCTGCTGTTACTTCTAATTCCAGAATCTTTCCTACTGCATACAGAAGAGGCGCGACTGAGCGGCTCTTGACCAGACAATAAAGGACTAGAAGGTACAGGATTCGGATCCATTTCAATATCATTCTGTGACGTGTTCTACAGAATAGATGCAACTTATATGTGAATGAGATATAATACAATCTCGAACGGAAGTAACAATTCGTATCGACTTTGACCTGCCTAAATCCATTGCGATCTTCGTACGATTGCGACTCGGCTTTCGATCGCTCGGCAATTATCGCCTTGGCTTCCTCCCTTTCCAGTGGCGTCATTTCTTCGGTGGTTCGTTGCCGTTGCAAATATTTCCACGGTTTGTTACGAAGTTTCTTCTTTCCATAACTGGCAACGGACACCGGGCTCTTATTCACGTTCTCCTTTTCATCCGCAGGATCATTGTCTCCGTTTTCAGAATCGAGAATACTCGGTAATGAGTTCGCCTTCATTCTATAGTTACTCGTATTAGTGACCATATGGAGGTAATGGTATTTCGGCTTGGCTTGATTGTTACAAGAGGCCAAACGATGACGCGATTGCATCAGAGGCGATATACTCTTCGGCGATGCAACGTTCATTATAAACTGATTGGCGAAGTCCGACTTGCGACTTTTGATAAAATAACTCTTCATACCTGTAACGATCAACTTCTGTTATCTTGTTAAATATATACTCATCTTTTATATCGTTGTGTATGACAATGTACCATTTATTAAATCCCCTTCTTCCGTGAGATACTGATCATTCAGAAAGCTCAATGTCCTTTCGCTTAAATGAACTCTTCCCGGTTTGCCTGTGCTCTCTAATTTATTAGCTAGGCTCACATCGTTAGACCAAACGTCGAATTTAAACCTCTTAGTGCCTACGATCCCGCAGAGTACGGTTCCAGTGTGAACTCCGACTCTCATATTGACACCTTCTCTTCTCTCGATATCAAACTGTTTTATAGCTTCTATCATGGCTATTAAAATACGTGTAGTTAGAAAATGTTTCGGTTTCGCAGGGTGGCGAGAAAGTGATATATGTACCTAGTCCCATTTCAATGCAGCACTTGGCATGATCTAATCTCGCCTCTGGACATCCGCTCACGCAGTAATAGCAGTCTCCCAAAGTGGAGATTTTCTCGCATCCATGGTGCTCGCACAAATCATCGAATCTTTCGAAAAGATCGTTTAAAATTCCTACCAGTTCTTCCGCAGTCTTATTAGAGCTCATCCGAGTAAACCCGACAATATCAGCGAATAGTATACTAACGTCTTCCATTGGCTGCATGTTAAACGGTCGGAACAACGAGCGAATATCTGTATTATTGGACGGTATCGAACCTTTCTTTATCGAGTCCTCCCGCTCCCTTTCGCGTTCACTCTCTTCCATCAGCCAGTCGGCGACTGTAGGCGGCATCACCGAGTGAATCATCTTTTCTTTCAACTGTTTCTCCATCTCCAGCTGACGCCGGACCAATAACGATTGACCGACTTTCATAAACGTGCCACGCATCCTTACAAAAGTCATTATTAAAATATGTATACCTATCAGATGAATGCAGATCTGCAGTAAGATTCTTATTCCGAGGCTCGTAGAAAAATAATTGTCTTCCAAAGACGATTGAGTAGATATGTCGCTGCTTAAGAAATAGTTGGTTTCACCATTCTTGCTGGCTAACATGCTCTCTCCTAATATCGAACTCGCATTGCTTCCTCTCGAGTTTAAATCGTTGCCCGAAGCGTTTATAGTGGAATTAACATTAGCTATCATCGATATTATGCTAGAATTGAAGTTCCTCAGAACGTTTCTGGATATCCTCCCGGCCATAGCCTCTTGGCCCGACCTCGTCCCGAGAGCTGATAACAGCCTCGAATCTTGAAGCATTCTTGTAAATTCGTTGTTATCGTGGATCACATTAAAAAATTGACTGTTATTCAAGCTCCTCAACGAAGAATACGTAGCTGCCGACACTCCGCTATAATCTATCTTGGCATCGTTCGGTGTAGACGTATTCGATAAAATATTTCGACTAAAAAACTTCTCTCTTGCAGCTTTAGTACCATAAAGGTAGGCAGTCAGGAATTCAAACAGGATAGAGTAGACCGCTGATATTCCCACGCAAGCGTACAGCGGCATCGGTAGCACGGTGTAGATCAACAATAAAATCTCAGAACATAACGCGAAGTGTCCGACTAGAGTCAAGCCATCTATGTACGGCGGTACCATCGCGAGAAAGAGTAAAGACAAGATGCATAGTGCCGACGCGACTCCCAACGCGATCGGCAACACGTAGCTTTTGTAATGCTCCGTGTGCGTTAGATACAAAACCGCAGACACGACTGCTCCGACTACAGCGAAAACTGCTGCTACAGCTGGCCATGTGGTGGTATCGTGTTTAGTTCCGATTACAACGAAATATGTTAACCACGACAGAGAGACCAATAAGATGTACGTCAGGGCATATCTGAAATTATTTTCAACATTCACTACATACTCAAGCGAACGTAATGACGTTTTGTGTACCGGAATCTTAATCTAATTTGTGGAAAGGCACTTCTTTTAAATTGTTCTTCGAGTATCTCCGAATCGAATCTGGGATTCCACCACGATCTCGGTGCCGCACGCTCGAATGGCACTGGAAGGCTGATCCCACAACATCCGAGTCCTTGTCCACTGTGTGCCAAATAAGTTTGTATGTACGGCGCTAAGGATATATGTATCTCGTCTACAGCATCCTCGCTGTCATCTTTAGCTCTCGTGAAACTGACAGACGAGCTTCGTTTTCGGTTCAAGGGAGGAGTCATAGTTGACATTTGAATTGAACGCTAGAACAGAATTTCATATAATAAATCATTTATTATCCAAGTGTCAGTTTCCATTACAATGCAGACATAAAAAAGGATGAGCGCAATGTCTTAATACATACGTAATATATTACAATTTAACTCATTTAATTCAAGCGCCGTACAAACTTCCGACGATAATCACGTTTCGAAATCTATCATTATTATTAATTTCTACAAACAACACAGTCGACGTAATAAGTTTCTATTCGATTATTCAGACGGTGGTTATAAAGAACGTTTATTTGAAATGACAGCACGTTATTTTAACTTGATAGTCAGCATGATACGATGAGTACGAGGTAGGTGTGACAACGCTATGAGTCAAGAAACTTACGGCCAAATCAGTTCACCCTGATCACTGGCGAAATCGCCAAAAAACTCGAGAATATCATCCTCCCCGCTGACATCGGAGATTCTTTCTAAAATCAGCTTGCTTCGAAAAATATCATTTTGCTTTCCGTTCCGTTCGAGTGGTCCTCTCTGCGCCAGCGAGGAAACGTATACGTTACATATATTACCGAAAATTCCGACCCGGACTCGCTGCGATCGTTTTGTTATTAAAAATTATCGTTAAAACGTCTCCAATTTTCTCGTCTGTAATGCACTATAGCCATCTTGAAGGTAAAGGTGTGTGGGTGTGTGAATCAACAACTCTGGACGGAGAGTAGGGACTGGTGTATGAGTGTGTATACGCGGAAACATAGAGATATCTCGCATACAAGGAAGGTGAAGATGAAAATTAAAATATTCGCGTTATAATGTCATGTTAGCCAAATAAAAAAGACAGACATTACCTCAGTAAAATCTTCCACCCCATGGCATGTTCGGACTTTTTATATTAAAAGGATTCATGATATTATTATTATTATAAGTAGGAAGACCTCGTTGGGAATAGACCTTTAAGGCTATGTAAATGGATACACATTGAACTTAAGTCAACTTAAGTTGATGATTCTCAAGTATTGCTACGACAATTATCTCCGATCTATCCTGATTTCCAATAATTTTGTAACTATCACTGATCTCAGTGTTACACATTGCTTCTGTGTGACGAGAAATTACTGTTAATCTTGCTTGGAAGCAAGGTTTACAGACTGCGAGGGCACCAGCTTGAAGTAGACCGTAGCTGAATTGGTTCGGTCCAGTCGATTTGGTCGATTTCGCACTGCGTCTAAAGAAAATCGGAAAAATGTCGAAGAGGAATCAAGGGGACGAATATAGAAAAGGTTTTATTCATTTTATATATAATCGTATCGGTCGCATTAGGTTAACAGTTTAAATAAAAGTATTTACTTGGCGTTTTACAAAGATTCGACAGTGCCTCTATGCCCGATTTGTTTTCGTTATTGATTTCACGTCTACTCTTTGATCATGGATAAGTGAAATCGTGAACGTATCACTCAGAGAATTGATTGTAACGAAACGCCGAATACTCGTATCATGTTTCACTGTTCTAAAGCTAATGCCTCTTACTTTTCATGTGCCATTTACGGGTACACGTATCCTACAACCATGTGCCAAAGGATATATCACGGTTGTAAAAACGGAATGAATGTTAAACCTTATGTAATAAAATTATCAAGTAAATATACATCAGACATTCGCAGTATTTGTTATACGTAACATTAGGACGTGTACACGTTACACAAACACTCGTTTCTTCACCGTTCTCGTTCGCTCAGCTTTCGCCGATTTACCTGGAAATCGTACGATTTAGAAATCTGAAGAAACTTGTGCTAAGCATGTCGCTTAAATATTTCCGGTTAAAAGAAACAATGTTGTTTAACTTGATCTGAACTTTGCCAGTGTTTGACGTTGTCAGGGTCAAGTGTCTACAGAGCAGAGGACTCGAGGGGCGACAGCAACAGGGGAAGGGATCGTTCGCCACTTAGATCGGACGACCGTTGCGAAGCCGATGATTACAGTCAGAGCGATGCAAAGAAACAGAAGTTGGCTTTTGGATTCGGGAAGAAAAGTGGGGTGGAACAGAAAAAGGGCATCCAGATAAAGTTAGGCTCGACATCGGTAAGTACGAATATGTCGGTTCAAACAATCGTACGTGCATTCCTTCTTCTAATAGTTCTATTTTAGAAACCGACGGTAAAAGCAACGCCTGTTCAGAGGCCAACAGTGGCATCCGTGTTCAATGCAGACGAGGACGATGAGCCCGAGGAGATGCCGGCAGAGGCGAGGATGAGGATGAGAAATATTGGGAGAGAAACGCCGACTTCGGCCGGGCCGAACTCATTTGGTAAAACGAAGCAAGGATTTTGCGACTCCAAAAAGATATTCGAGAAAACGCTGAAGAAAGCGATGGAAGAAGCGAATAAATGATTTCTTCCTTAATGTATCCGGCAATTATTGTTAACTGTATATTAATTTTATGAGAAGAGAAATGCAACAACACGGCGGGATTCTTGCTACAGTTATACGCAAAATATTTTTATCAATTTCTTCTCAGTGGTAAAAATTAGATAATTAAACCTTCGTATATCTAATGTCGCAACTTCAGAATTAAGTAATTAGCTATTTCATTTAGCGTTAGCTGATGTTAAGACTGCACATGACGTGTACTACTTTCTTTGTGAATCAGGAGTAAAATCATATTGTGTAAACTTTTACATTGTTTATTAACATTGTATTCATTTTTCAATCACGCAATGATAAGTTAAAAGAAGTAGAGGTTCTTTAGAAACCTCAGGAAAGTTATAAAATAATTTATCTTGTAACGTGTAGAATAAATAATATATAGTTACATAGTAAATTACTTTCTATTTTGTTGGCCCTGGCGAAGATCCTGCACAAAACGAATACAAATTCGGATTAGATTCACGAAGTACTCGTTAATAAGAGCAGCGACGATTGCATTTGAGTAAATGGAATTAAATCATTTTAATAATTACCCTGGGGAAATTGCGGACTGGAGGTGTCCTAATACGACGGTTCGCTTTGGACCTGTTGCGTACGACTTTCGAGTGAATTGCACAAGAGACGCAATAGTGCAACTTCGCATATAATTTCGGCAGTTGATATGCCGAGTAGAAACTAGCTTCGGTGATATCTCTCACGGCAGCAGCTTCTACGATATTACGGATGACGAATTTCTTGATCGCCTTGTCTTTGGGTACGCAGCGTGCACAATTCGTACATCGTACCGGGTTCACGTGGCCACGGCCGTGTTTGGCGCGTCCACCGTTTCTGCGCTTGCAAGTCTAGAAGTAAAACAAAAATGGAAATATTAACGACGATCAGAAAGAGAGAGAATCGTAGTATGTAAATATCACGGCTACTACAAATGAACGAGATCAAAACTTTAGGAACTTGTCAAAGACCTGAGATTAATCAAGAACACAACGATCACATTCTAACATGTATCATATCTCTTGCAATTATTTAGAATTGTAACAATTCGTGTGAAAATCAATTGTTCGGACATATTGACAAGCACATGGCAATCATTCCACGGTTGGATGTTAACCAAGTACGACACTTATATTAATATCACTTAAAGTTATAATTCGCTCTGGCTTTAAACTACTTTGTACACGAACAATTACATAGCTCACGATACGGTAAATAAGATAGTTACCATTTTGTCTCCTTAACAGGAACACGTTAACAGAACAACGCCAACCGGAGAAATGAGAAAGATCGGAAACAACGTTTACTCAAGTGAAGTTGCCGAGTCACATGATCGTACTTCCGTTTCGATCTGATCACTGGAGGCACCATCCTGCGTTTGAATCTTACATTTACTCTGTTCGCGCATTTATCATTTTGATTACTTCAATATTATTTACTTATGCAATCATAAACGACACATATAAATATTTGAATTAAGAAGAAGCTGCTGCGTCAACCTGTATAATGTTCTAGTACTATATACTTGCATACGCATTTATTACGGACATAAAAGTAGATGATTCTGAAGGTAAAAGAAACAGCAAGGTGTTTGTACATATTCTGACAGACAATAAGTATAATAAATGAAAGAAGATAATTGAAATTAATGTACTTTATAAACGTTAACCGGTGAGTTCTTCGCATATGTGTATGTATGTACTATGCTTTCCTATTCGTAGAGTGCATAGATATAGACGATCCTTATTGGCTACGGAAACAAATGGTAAAACAAGCGGGCATTCACCACACGCAGTATCATATATTATATTTAAACGTTTATGAAAAAACTATTTGCAGCAGGATCGTGAAAATACATAGAATAACATCTTCGTTTAATACTGCTATATGTTTCTGCATTGAACCAGAAAGAATTGGTTGGAAAAGAATAACGTGACGTCAAGAGAAGTCGCGTGATCGTTCGAGGCTACGGAGTGGTCAGAGGTATCTCATGTAACAGTGGTGTTTGCCAAAAATCCGACACGAATCGGCGAGCAAGTTTTTGCCTCGTCGAACCGGATGTATCGATGCGATTTTTCATATTCCGAAATAAATCCTAATTATATGTCCGTACGGAAACGTTGAACGAGATTCTTCTCGTGGAAATCTAAACTCCTAACTGGATCATCTCCGCGGTAGAGGACGGAGCCACGCGATGAGAGTTACTGGTGAAAAGATTTCCCCGCACCGCGCGCGTTCCTCCGTATGTAATAATAATCGCTGTAAGATTCGTAGTTAGTGCGCACCGCGGCGTGTACTAAAGTTCAGGCCCTTTCGGGAGGCGTGTTGCTCGTTTCATTCTCCTCTGTCTCTCCCAATCGGATAAAAAACTGTGTGACTGTTGCCCGAGATTCTGCTTTGCACGGTAACTTTACATACTTTTCTTCGTTCGCGGTGTTCTATAATGCTGAACTCAACCTGTACACTGCTGTGACACTTCCGTAAATATGAATTATAGAATGGAACGACAGTGACAGTGAGACTCGAGCGATTTTTCATACGTGTTTAATGAGTGCTACGTACACAATTCAACCGAAGTTTCAGTGCATTACTTTTTTGTTATAAATAAGGATCCGTCAGGAGGTACTGAAGGAACGTTTAAGCTACTACGTGGTATTGTAGGATGACCGATCCAAAAATCGAGATGCATTACACGCCACCGAGCTCGGATACCATTCAAACAAAACCTTTTCCTATTCGTGGTAAGACAATTTCGAAGTTTCTCTCTATGTAGACTTAGAATTCCTCTGTTACTACTTTTTACAGCATCTCTTAACATGAATCCGATAGATTTTTGTCGAATTAAATAATGCATTCTATTTGAAACGGTCATTTTTTACGCTACTACATATGTCATTTTCGTTCACGTGGTTCGGTGCACCATTACAATCCAGGAACATAACCTGATAATGCTAGACCGCGTGCAACATGGAATGATACGTGTATGCACATAGATATATCTAAGAGAGAATTGCATTAAACTGACTGAACTTTATGGTGATGCGAGAGTAATTGAAACTGTAACTAAACACTGTATTTGACACTGTAGAGACAGTCTTAATCACGATTTTTGCATATTATAATTTTCATCATTCTGTAGTCGAGAACAGAATTATCATCGTTTATAGTTCTCGGGAATTTAATTTTATTGTAACATACTGTTTTACGTAAATGTACTTAAGCGCATAAGGTGAGTTTGTAGGATTTCCAAGGAAGATTTCAAACAGACAGCTGTCAGCTGTCGCAGACTGCATAAAAGAGAAGCTTAGAAATCCCCCGAGCTGTCTTCGGCTCATTGTTAAATTGATTCCGTCTTGAGATAGAATGTAGATGTTAAGAAGTTCGTAGAAATACAAATTCTTAAAGGAAACAACAAACACAGAACATTCCTCTGCGGGAGCTTGTTTGCTCTCGGTTGTACATTGGTCTTTGGTCGATTATTGAGAACGGCAGAGCGATAAAACTAATCTTGCAAGATTGGATGGGAAAGACGAGAAATGGTGGCAGTCGTGTTTGTCAAGAGATTGTTTCGTAAAGAACAAGCAGATAACAAGATGCTTACGTTGGCAAGTTTCTATCTGGCCAGAACAACCCCACGTTCAGAAGGCATCAATTCCCATTATCTTATTTGCCAGTTCAATTTGACTGCGTCTGTATTTTATGCCAGGTCGTTAATAGTACAGACTCGGAATTGCGTAAATTTCTTTGAACAGCTAGTTTATTCTCGATTCGCCTATAAATTTAATGCCTGTCGAGAGTGCATCGCGTGATCGAATATACCGATTGGATGCTTAGATTAGCCACAGTTATCGTCAATTGACAGTTACTTATTTCGAGAGAATTACTGGATAATAAATATATTACAAACAGGCAGCGATAATTACTATCCCACGTGTACAGCGTGTCCGTCCGAAGGACGGGGCACGTGCACACTATCGGTGTACCAGGGACACCAATAAAAAGATAAATAAAAAAGTGTATCTACGTGTCGTATATAATGGAAAGATAAATCAGAAACATGACTCATGTACACACTGAACGTCTTACCAGGCCTATTTGTAAAAACCGGTTGCCGTATACTAATACATAAAAATTAAACCGTATTGCACACCGATAATTATGATCAATAAAACCAATTTCCCGTTTAACGCCACCCTGACCTCACAAATGACTACCTAGAAAGATCAATCGGTCGATACTCGAAGGAGTTAGATTCGAATGATCAGACATAAAAAATGAATCCCACTGCCCCTTTTTAACTATGATATTTGCCTGTTTCAGGCGAACGTGCCAATTTCGTTAACAAGCCTCATGTGATCGCTATGGTGGGCCTGCCGGCTCGGGGTAAAACGTACATCTCGAAAAAGCTCTGCAGATACTTGAATTGGATCGGTATAAGCACGAAGGTGTTCAACTTGGGCGAATACAGACGACACGCAACCACCGCGTATCAGTGCCACGAATTTTTCCGTCCCGATAATATTAAGGCGATGGCAATACGTACCCAGTGCGCGATGGACGCCCTGAACGATGTCTGCCAATGGTTGGAGAGCGGCGACGGTGAAGTAGCCGTGTTCGATGCCACTAATTCGACGATCGAAAGGCGTCAGCTGATCAGGGACATTGTCGTCTCGAAGATGGGCTTCAAACTGTTTTTTGTAGAGTCCGTCTGTAACGACCCGGAGATCGTCGAACAGAATATTATGGAAGTATGTTTCATTAAGTCTGTCTGAAACCCAGGAGGATTTGCTCTGGGGCCAAGTTCAAAATGAAGTTTCTGTTGTTTCAGGTAAAGGTGAGCAGTCCCGATTATGCGAACATGAATAAGGAAGAAGTGTTAGCCGACTTCATGTTGAGAATCGAACACTATCAAGAGAAGTATCAACCGTTGGACGAGAATCAAGAAAACGATCTCTCCTTTATGAAGATTTACAACACCGGCGAGAAAGTGCTGGTCCACAAGCACGAGGGTCACATACAAAGTAGGATAGTTTATTACCTTATGAACATCCATATAGTGCCACGTACGATCTATTTAACTAGGCATGGCGAGAGCGTGATGAACCTCGAAGGTAAGATAGGCGGAGACTCAGAGTTGAGCGAAAGAGGCTGGGAATATGCCAAAGCATTAGCGAGCTTCATCACTAGTCAGGATATTCAGGTAAGAGTTCTGTCGTTTAAAAGCAACACGAGTTTCCTGTTGAACGGGGAAGAGGCAAATGATTCGTTGCGATTGCAGGGACTGAGAGTATGGACTAGCTGGCTGAAGAGGACCATACAAACGGCAAGCGATGTGAACGTGCCTCAAGAAAGGTGGAAGGCTTTAAACGAAATTGACGCGGTAAGCCGTGAGGAAGGAGACAGTTACTTTCAGGTGAAGTAGAGAGTGGTAAGGTTTATACCGTTGCGCGTGTACAGGGTATCTGCGAGGAAATGACTTACGAGGAAATCTCGGACAAATATCCGACCGATTTCGCTGCTAGAGATCAAAATAAATTCTCGTATCGGTACCCGAGAGGGGAAAGTTACGAAGACTTGGTCGCGCGTTTGGAACCTGTGATAATGGAGTTAGAACGGCAGGGTAATGTTTTAGTCGTCAGCCATCAAGCCGTTCTACGATGCCTACTCGCTTACTTCTTAGACAAAAGCGCAGGTGATACATTTTTATATTTCGTCGAAACTAACAATAATCGTCTCGTTGCATTCGCGTATTTGCATCGTGAATACCGTGAGAATATTTAAATTGTTTAATGCGCATATAATATACTGAAACCCCGGAGTTGCGTAACTATCGGCCTTCGACGTATCGACATGATATAAGAAAATGGATATGTGCATGGAAAGTGAGATATCGGGGAATGGCGTAGTTGTAGTTACACGTGCGACGGAAGTTCAAGATCCGTTCTTGTTTACATAACTATATTGCGCGTAGTTTATTGAACTTGATTAGTGTGACCTGTCCTGGAATCTGATCATGAAAGAAAAAGAACGACGATTTTCGTTTTTAGTCTCCGCTCATTTTGTTCCAGATGAATTACCATACTTGCAAGTGCCACTACATACTATTATTAAATTAACGCCCGTCGCCTATGGCTGCAAAGTGGAGCATATACGATTACCAATTGACGCAGTGGATACGCACCGAGCAAAACCAAAGGTAGAAATAATCAGAATTGAGCAGTAGTGTGTAGTTATTCTTCTCTCCCTTTGTAAATACATCCTCCTCGCTAAATAGAGATGAAAGAGAGAAAGAGCAACGAAATAATAAGAGAATTAATCGAAACACTCCTAACTTGCTCCTAATCTTAATAAAATACCTAAGTCCCTTACGATACTTGTGTTTTAATGTTCCCAGAATGCCTGACCATTAGTGGATTGGGACTACTTTCGTATCTAATCTTTATTTAATGTATCCTATAAAAAAGTTATCCAATCTTAAGCTTTGTACACTAAACATTGCGTCGCATGCATTTATTTACTAAAAGGAGACGTTTAAGACGTCGTACCACGCACGTACTTACTACTATATTGTAATCACAATAGTTTTGTGTAACTGTGTACGAAAGTAAATGTTATCTGGTGTCAAATTTAAATGTTAGGCTTGCTAGCAGTAAAGAGACATGTGTGTACATGCATATTTAAAAGAGTATGTCCGTCGTGAAACACGTAAGATTTGTCTTTGTAGATAGATCGTCCAGTGAATCGTGTAAAAAAAAAAAAATGAACTTTGATTGTCGTAGTGAATAAGAATCTGTTTACGTACAAAGTAAACTATTTTGTTTGTATTCGTGTGGTTGTAATCGGGATATGCACATAAATGTTTCTAGCGGTACGACGTGACCACAGAAGTTTGACATTAAAATATGTTTAACGATGTGTATGTTAATTTTTTTTTAATTCTATGTACTCTTCTAGATGTAGCAGTAGTGTAGCTTTCGCTTACTATTGTATATTATCGTTGCGGACCATTGTCTAAACGATGTAACGGTCCTTATGAAACTCGTTTCAGATCTGCGGATATCTAGAGGAACGATTCCGAAGGAAAGGAAAATTACCTCGCACGTGATAACAACGAGGTCGTAGCACGACAGAGCTAATTCTTACGGTTGTTACGAGATGCTGAAGACACGCATTCTTTCGGCAGCTGGCTGCCTTTGCACGTCCGACGCAATGCGCATCCCGTTTAATTTCCTAACTCGAAACAATTTAGACGAAAATATGACAGCATCCAATGCTATTCCTACGTAACCAAGTTATATATATGACCAAAGGATTCCCTTCTTTTTCATTTTCCAACGATACACACACTGTGTGTTAAGGTAGCGTGACAGTGTATTTCATCGAATTCCGCATCTATTCGGATAGAGACAGATGTCTCGTGTAATCAGGAGGAAGATCCTATTATACTCGAGCGGACATGTAACCACTTATGTAAATTTTTCACGATTCAAACAATTTTTCAAATGATCCAATCTTTCGAATCTATTCCGTTTTTATCCTACTCCAACAAGCCGAAGTGGTTAAATGGAATATCGTTCACTTCCGCAGCGTACGAATTTCAATTTCGTCGATTACTTCCTATAAAATCGTCGATGAAAAGAAAGTCGTGTACTCTGAGGTACATAGTGATTGTGTAACGATGTTTTATGTATTTTATAGAAATGTTCCATCGACACTATCTCCTGGCAATTATCAACCTATCAATCCACGTTGCTTTCACCCGAAAATGTTCGAGATAAGAGGCAAATGACGAGAATCGCGTTATACTTAAAAATTTATTTTACATAGTTAATCTAGCTGTCGGTGAGGAAATGGATCGCAAAATATTTTTGTCAACATGGATAATGGAACTGTGTGGAAGATCGAGGATTTTTTGAACTATAATTTATTTCGAGATACAAAATATGTAAATATTTTTTTAATGCCTATCGCGATAAAAAAATACATGTACTGAGAAAAACCATAGTAATTCCTTTCTGTATCTCCTTTGTATGTAATCCTCTTACAAGCATTAACTTCAGACTCCTAATTGTTCTAATTTCGTATAAAATATTCAAAGAACTTTGGTGTGTCTTGATAGAACATTATACAGGTTGATGTAGCTTCTTAATTCAAATATTTATGTGTCGTTTATGATTGCACAAGTAAATAATATTAAAGTAATCAAAAAGGTAAACGCGCGAACACAGTAAATGTAAGATTCAAACATAGGAAGGATGGCGATTGATTTTGGAGTTGCTCGTGTTTTTTGCAAATTACTCGTTGCTAGCGGAAACTTTTTATACAGAAATTGTAGTTCTCGTCGTCCTCTACAAGAAAGGTCCTATGCAATTTTCCCGTATCTCCAAGGGTTTACGAGTTATTGAGAAAAAACGAAATTTTTTGTCAAAAGCGAAAGGCTCCAATATTGCTGCACCAGAGAGAAAAACGGGTTCGCGGCCATGAACGCTAGATGGCGCCACGGGCAACCCCAAATTGATTTGAGGTATTTGTACCTGTTTGTACCAGAGATGAAAAGGGAGATTGCTCATTTCTTTGTTCGAAAGTGGACACGGCTCACTACCGCACCCTAGTGTCAATGTCCATTATTTAAGGGGAAATAGACGTAGTTTAGGAAGGATTGTGCACTACTCCCCTCAAGAAGTGGACACGCCGAAGAGAGCTGAAAATATACGTATAAGATTTGCCATGCTCGTGCCTAGGGTATTCGTCTACAAGCGCTCCATCTCGCGGCCGGCTTCGTGCATCTCCTAAAAGAAGGGGCGCGTGTCGAGTGACGCAGTACGTGCGTGTGTGCGTGCTGACTGTCAGGCAAGCGAATTCTAAATTCACTCCTCGAGGCTCGGAATCTTCGACGCTTCGAGACTCGGAGTCTTCGAGGCTCCGTGTGTTCGAAACCCAGACAATCCACTCTTTTTTTCTTTGTTGTTTATTCATCTGAAAAAATTCCAACACGTCCGTAGCATAACTGGACACATCTGAGAATTATTTCAGATTTTTTTGTTACAAAATGTAACCGTGAAAAATAAGAAGGTGCTAAACATATTTTTGTTCACATAGAAATCGTTCGGATACACTGTCCATATTTTTATGATAGATTCTTATTGCCGCAAGAATTGTTCATGAATTTTTTCAGATTTTTAGGTTTGGTGCGTCAATGCGAAAAAAATCAAAAACTATGTACGTCTCATGTTGAAGTACGTAAATGAAAGACGCGCTTCCAGCAGCGGCAACAGCGAAGGGGTGATGACACGAGGTCAGCGATTGCTACGTATTTTTTTGACGTAGGCTCGCGTTCTGTCATGACACTTACAAAGGACAACAATTTACAAAGGCAATAAAATTTGAAGGGCAAGGAAGCAGCTGCTCCGGCTACCTGCCTGCCGCTCTCGGCCGGTTCAAAAGGGGCGCAGTGCATAGCTCATTATCTTAATGAGTTTTACTTCAAATGACCTGAGGTTTTGGGAAAATATTTCTAAGAAGTTGTATTTTTATATGAAAAATTCTCAGAAAAATGGATTTTTCAATGTGATTATCCCATACC